GCTAGAGCTAGTAGGGACTGCTCTCGCTTCTAACCAATCGATAAATAAACTTGTTTCTACGCTAATCAACAAGCCATGCGCCTGTCAGATTTAATTTATCGTTGAAGTTTAGTGTCGCACGCACAAACCTAAGTTTTCCGCACTCGTGTTAAGACGAACATGAAATTTTCTCCTGGTGAGCTTTTGTTCTGGTCTGTGAAAAAATGGGTGAGCTTTTGTCCGGAGAGCTTTTGTCCGGGATTCCTTTGTCCAGTTTTGGTTGTTGTCTTGGTGTATTGTGCCCCAGCAAAGGGCAAGTTGTGTGGTTGGTGACCTTGCGGCTTTGTGTATATAAGAAGGTGGAACTGAATATTTTTTAGCTGCGTTTGAGACTTCTCTCGTTTCCTGTTTTTGTCCCTTCTACGTTTAAATCTCTATCTCATACCCCAGTATCGAGTTAAGTTGCAACATGGCTGACATGAAATTTATTTATCTTGATGAAACTAAATATTGATCCAATTAAACAGGACCGGCAAGTCACTGATGCTGCAGGTATCTGAAAAAACAATAATATTCAGTTCCTGGCCAATCGTGGCATGCCGGTGACGTCGGCAAGAAGGCAGGGAGGGCTGTTGCTGTAACTGCACCTTTCACGGCAATCCCACCATGCCGCAAGGAAGACGCACGGATTACACAGCTGACCTTTGCACGACTGCTAAAACTTCCGTTTCCGGCGAAATTCTGTGTCATGACCAAGTGATTTCTCAATCTGCTGATAAGTTAAGTAAAAAAAAAGCTAACTTTTTAAAAATAAATATTGGAACCAAAGCCGATATCTGTTCTAGGCTGGACAAAAACTCGCGATTAATTAGCATCACTATTTAGAAAAAGTTCAAAACTTTTTGGTACAGCCATATTGACCACGTATCAACCTTAGCCAACGCGAGCAAGTCGAAGTGGCGTGGCGCTAAAAGCAAAGACGACAGTGGAAGACCCATCTTGGGTGCTAGAAGGTGAACAAAACGACAGGAAAATATTTTTTTAATTTTTACCACCCAACAATCATACGCATACTTGTCGGTTCCTATATATCTATAAAACAATACACATTACCAGCAAAAAAAAAAATCACAAACCTTTTTCAGGCACAGAATTAGGCCAAAAGCATAAAGTTGTTGCCTTAAAGCGCGAAACACATGTACGACGAAATCGTCCGATCCGACGTCCTACCGCGCAATACGACGCTCGGAGGCGAGGGTTTTCAACGCTCTCCGATGCTACGAAAACCCTCGCCCCCCGAGGTCATTCCGGCAGTCCGCACGTCGGATCGGAAGGTTTCGTCGTACCTGTGTTTCGCGCTTAAAAAAGTAACAAAAGTATTCCCAGCGAGAGGCATGTGGACACACGACGCGGTAGCGTGGCCTTGACAAGACGCCACGACGCAGATGGAGCGAGATGCGAAATCAACTCGGGAGCTGACTAACTTTGCGGTAGCTGTCATTTTCGAAACACTTAACGTTCTGCGAATGTTCGATTTCTTTTTTAGAACTGTTTCTTGGTGCTGAAAGTGAGACGACCACATAAAAAAAGCAATTCATGTTTCAAAATGTATTGTCAATATTCACACACAAAAAAGGCACTGACAATGGCACAAAATTACCGAAAGCTCGCTGCCATGGGAGCAATGAATGGCACATCTCATCCTCGTGTTGCATCTATATTCAGACACAAGTTAAGGATGCACCAACAGCACCATGTACCAACCACGGCATCGAATCGCTCCGCGGATGACTAGGGGAGGAAGTAGCCAAAACGAGATGTCAGACCTATGGGGAAGTGGACAAGCACGTTGTCGGGGCCCAAGGCGTGCAAGGGGGGAGCACTCAACTGCTTCGTCTTTTGGGCTAAAGGTGCGTGTTTTCTGCTTCCATTCGCTCTTGTCCTTGCGGGTGAGCAGTATGCACCGATCCACACAGATGTCAACGCGACGTGCGCCTTGCTAGGAAACCACTTGAGCATTTCGGAGGAATACTGACGGCAGACTTGGACGTAGTTCAACTACTCTACTCAAACTACTGTAGTTTAACTACTTTTCCGAGTAACTTGGTAACTTTCAATTACAACTCTACTTGGGTAATTAGTAGTTTAATTTAACTACGTTTTTCGGGTAACTTCTACTCAAATTACTAATTATTTTCGAAATTTAATCCTATTTTTTTTCATCACAAAAGTGCAGAAATAACTAAGACGCTGGCAGATTAAGTGGTATTCAGGAACAATGGGCCCCCTCACATTCGGTTCCCACGCACTTACACTCGGCAGCCCTAGAAACTGCATCACAGGCGTCCTTGGGCCAAGGTGGCGACGACGAGCAGCCAAAACATAACACCGGCGCGCACGAACGCAGTCAGAGATGCTTGACAAGCCTTGGTCGGGTGTTGACCTAATCCGGTAATGCACGCAGGCGCCGCGTTTCCAGCTGCAAACGTGAAAGACGGGGACACTCCGAGGGTTGTTTTTGTTTTCATGGTGTGCCTTTAGTGAGTTCTGACTCAAGTGGTAGGTTCCACGGTAGGCGCCACTGGGATGACCTCGCAGCTGGGCGCCTGTTCTCATGGTCGCCTCGTCGTCAGCGCATACTCCCTTGAAAAGCGGACTCCCCCGCGCATAAACGCAGACATGGATAATCCGCCATGGGAGCACGTTCCTGCTTTCTGCTGCGACTGTACGAGCGCCGATGCTTGTTCACGTAATGCTTCGCGCCATTCCGACCTTCCACGCCAGGGAGACCTCTTTGTTGAAAACGTTTTACTTGTCAGGCGCGTCAGGATACCGTAGTCGCCGGCGAGGATTTCGAGTCACCCTTGAGAGATCCTTTTGTTGGACCTAACGTCAACGGCAAAAAACAATTTTTTTTTTTTTTTTAAGTGGCGTAGTTATAACATTGCAACGAGACGCGCAGTCGTCCGGATCATTTCATCGTCGTTGCGCGAGACTTGATCCCTTGAAGGTCATGTGCACTCGCTCAGTGAAATCTCCGAACGTCGTGAGAATAAAAAGGGGCCAGTCATAACAATCTCAACAGGGGAGGAAGTGGCCGAGTGGGCTAACGCGTCTCAGCTCGGAGCGTGGAGCGAAAGCTTGCGCTGGGAACCTCCTGGGTTCGATCCCCGCCGCCCCCGCCCGTTTTGATCTGGATGAGTTTCGTACCGGCACGCGTTCGTGTGATCACTACTGCGTGATGCACGTTAAAAACCCCAAGTTAGTGGCTGTACCGCACTGGCCAAATTTCTCATCTACAGCTAAGAGACCGATTACCCGTCTCCATCAAGGCTGTATAAACATAAAGAGCAAGCCAATTTTTTTACAATCTCAACTTTTCGAAGAAAAAAAGAGAAAAAAAAAAGAGAAGAGTTTGTTATAAAAGGCCCTCTAGCCGAGGCAAGCCTCACATGTTTCTTCATGGACACCAAAGATGCCGATACTCGCTTACCCGACCCTGCACAGCCTGCTTCTGAAATTGGACGCTGTCTTTGCATCCAGCGCCACGGTGGAACGTCTTTTTAGCTTGACCGAGGACGTTATTAGAAGGAAAAGAGGAAAACTCTCCGATAACAACTTTGAAAGACAATTACTTCGGCGAGCGAAAAAACTAGTTTGGAAGTCATAAAATGACTGCATTTATTTCCGGCTCGCAGGGTTTTTCACTGATCAAAACTTCTGTTCATTTTGCTGCCACAAAAACATAAAAAGTAACTTCGAAAGTAACTTCAAAGTAATTCGCTACTTTTTTACAGTAGTTAGTAGTTTACTCAATTACTATTACAAATGCGTAATTTCTACTCTACTTCAACTACTTTTGGCGTCGATACTCAGTAACTTGACTTAACTACCTTTTTTGAGTAATTTGTACATGTCTGACTGACGGGCATTAACGAGGGCGTGGGAAGAGTTTTTGATGCAATCTTAACTGGGATGTGACTATGGTAAGTAATAATTCCTTTATATATTCGAAGAACATTTTTTTAGATTTTTTCTTGCGTAATATCTTTTTTTTTTTTTTTGCTTTTAGGTTTTTGCGTTTAAACTCGCCTCCAGCGCATATTTCCGGCAGTTTGATCTTTTAGTTTGGTTGCAGCTGCTTAAACATTTGCGTATGTGCATCATATACACGTAATCCGAATAATCTAAATCTACAGCATAACCAGTTTCTTCGAGGGACAATAAATATCTACAAACCCCTATTTAAGGAAAAAAAAAAGATCAAGAGCTCTAGCGCGCTTTGCACTATTTACCTTATAAATGTGGGAATCCTTAAACACAGTTAAAATGCTGGTGCACTCTAAAATGTCTTGGATGAAAATACTTTTATTGGCGTCCTAAGATCAAAAGGTGTAATACAAAATAAACCTAAACAAATTTTACAGTCTTTCGGACAGAGTCCGAACAGTAAAGATAGCAACAAAACAAGCACTAAATACGAAGGCTCCAGGTTACCAATTTTCTAAGACCGACTCAAATCTTTCATCAGGGGAGATTATGTCCGTTTAGGAGCTGAAGCTTCTCATTCTGCGGCTGAAGTCTTTTCCTTTCTTTCTGTTTCTCTGATGGGGGCGTATAGCTTCTACCACTCGCGTCTGCCGGGGGTTAGTGTCTGTCCCAGTTATGTCCGCGTTCTCAATGTAAATCGTTCGGCATTCGCGCAGCGGTCATTGTCAGATATCAATATTTCGTTTTTCTGCCGGCGAATTCTTTCTCTGAAGTTAAAAAGTCATTTTTAATTAACGGGCTAGCAGTCACAAAGTTATGAAAACGTAAAAAAAAAAAAAAAAAGCGCCTCCGTACAGGAGAAACTGTTGCTACAAAACGGACATCGACGCAGCTAATGAGGCGCTGCAGTTGGTCTTAAAATGTTTGAACCTTCGTAGTTAAGGTTTCGCTGATATTATTTTTTTTACTTTACAATGTAGAGTACTATCGCTAAGCACGTAAGTGTGGTTTTCATAATTTGGCACCAAAACAAGAAGTTGTAAAAAGTTTTATTGTAAAAAAGTAATTTTCTAAAAATACGAACGTTTTCTGGTAGAGGAAACATTCACCACTAAGGGCTTCGGCAACCGACATAAAAACGAATGGCAATAACACTCAACAAGAACAGTGAATCATTGGACATATATTTCGACTTTACGGGCGTAACCTAATCCGAAAGGGCACAAAATTGGTTATCGACATAGTCGTCTTGGGACGCAAACGCGGTCGAAGTGCCCTGATCGTCTAAGCAAACCAAAAATTACCATCGCGGGTTGCCTTTTCCCCTATTGAAAATGTTAGGAGACACGGAGACAGGCCCTTTCTTCTTAGATTTGCACCTTAGTAAAGGGGCATGTCGCGATCTTTGGTCGCGTTTTCGATAGGAAAGAAAGTTCACTCCTGATCTTAATTTTCGGTTACCTTGGACGCAGGGAGCATAGATTGAGTTACCGTCACAAAATATGTATAAATCCACTAAGTACTGTTCACACACGCACACCAGAGCACTAAAATAGCTCTATAGACACTGTGCTGACTCCGCAGTGTATCAGCGATGTATGAGCGTTTCGCACGTGACCCCGCCTTATCCAGCGCGCACACGCAATGCAGCACTGGGGTAGCGCTGAGTTAGTGCTCACAGTATCGCTAACGCAGCGCATGACTCTCTTTTATCTCAGCGCTGCGCTGCGTGTGTGAACGGGCCTTTAGTGTCGCTTGTGCCCTACCCGTACTGCAGAAACGCTCTCAGAGCGCAAGTTCAGAACGTCCCTTTAACGTAAGTCTCGCTGTTCGTTCTTGGTATCGCGTCGTTGAGGCGGCGGCTTGCCGAAGTCCCACGTGAGCCGGTGACACTGCTTTTCCCTGATCACGACAGCGACTGCCGAAGCAGCATGGCGACCTGCACTAGAGCGGGCAACAGCAAGGCCGTCAAGGCGGTCGGCGCTGGGCGTCCCGCGTGGTTGGGCTTGGTCGCCGCGGCGGCCGCAGACGCGAAGGAGATCCTCCCGTCAAGGCCCATGGTCACGGGGGAGATGGCCTTCAGGTAGTTCACAAAAACGTCCACGTCCTCGTAACCTGCGAACCGTGGAGATGCGTCTCGTCAAAGGAGCTTCCCAAAGGCGTTCTAAATGCGCACCATTTAGTAGGGAGGCCACTAACGCCACGTCATTGTATCTGCTGTCACCTAACGTCACGTGGCATTACGACGTTGCACTGTCAAGTGACGTCGTAATGTCACAGATACAATCAAAGTGTGTCAGGAAAAAATAAACGGAACACCCTCAGATAAAGGGAGGAATACGAGAACCACTTCAGAATTTATCGAGAGCCCTCAATAAAAGAAAGATGACTATATCGAAGAGGTATTGCACCAAATCAAAATAACACAAATAAGGTTGAAAGAAAGGATACACCGAAACTATAGTCAAAATCCCTGAGCAAGTGAGGCTAGATAGCCCAACTAGTTAGAGAGAAAGAAACCTAGCTCCGCCCAGTGGCTCGTGTTGTTCCTCAACGAGCTACAATGCGTGAGAAAGCCATGTTTGCGATAGTTTGAAATTGAAGCGGAAAGAACGATCTGGTGATATCGTTGGAAACAATAATGGCTTAACCTTGATAGTTAGTTTACCAAACATAAAAACTCGGAGGACGCTTAAGCTTCGCCTTTAAGAGTGGAACGCGATAGTGAAGCATAGGAACAAATAAACTGCGGCTCGTTGCCAGACACGCTACTGACTAGGCCTCGCGTAGCCTAACCGGAAGCGTGTAATTTTTTTTCTTTAAAGTTTGTTTGTAGCGTAGTTGGCTCGCAACAATATGGTCGAGGGTTCGAACCCCTCTAAAATTCTTCCAAATTGTTCTTAAGGCATATGAATTACATTGTGGAGTGAAATCATTTGAGATACGCTAAGGCCTTTAATTCGCATTACGTCATATTTTTCATTCCCTTTCGTTCCACGGCTGACGTCACGTTTCACGTGAGCGTTGTGGGTTCTTTGAAATTCCCGGGCGACGTCACGTGACTGTGACGTCATGACCCAGTCGACCAATCCTGTGTTTTTGCGCAAGCCACCGACGCCGGCTTTTTTTCGACACGAGCTCCCTAACGCTATCCCGTTAAAGTATGCCAAATAAATGACTACCGCGGCACGGAGAAAGTACTTTACAACAACATTTCACATATAGATTATCTCTCCAACCAATGAGGACCGAGAAAAGGAGCATAGCTAGCTGCGCTCCTTCTGTTATGGGGGGGGGGGGGGGGGGGGGGGGGGGGGCCTGGAGCGCGGCTACGTGTACCTAAAATTCAGATGGAAACGCAAATATTGTGCCAAATAGTTTTTTGTTTTGTTGTTCTGGAAACATTTTACAAGTTTTTTTATCTATGTTTTTATGTACCCTTTTATTCCAGTGTCTTTAAGCGAGTGAATTGTAGTAAGTCGGGTATAGCGGATGAATATTTGCAACGCGGTCGCCCTAATTATATTTCGGACTGTTACGAGTTTTAGGGCGAGCAAAAGACGGCGCAGAAACCAGAGGGTTTTAAACCATCTCCGCATCCAAGGACTTTAGCTGACACTTGCTGTGGTGGCTGCAGAAGTAAAGGCAGTGCACCTACCAGTGTCAAGGCGGTCTTGCGGCTTCACGAAAGAGAAGTCGAAGTTGTCTCCTCCGTTCACGATGTAGCTGACGGCAGCGATGCGGTACCACTTGTCCGGGTCCACATCCTCGAAGACGGGCACCCGGCAGGCGGTGCACAGGATCCGCAAGCTCACCACGCGGTCCAATGGCTTACGACTAATGTCGTATACCACGCGCATGCCTGCGCAAAGAGCCGCACAGGAAAACGTGCCAAGTATTCGCGCATACGCGAAAACTTTGCAACAATGGTGAAGAAAGGCAGTGGTAGGAACAAGGCGAAAAAGGGGGGTGAAATTCTACTCAAATTTCGCGTATCTCCCGGCACGAGCACTGCAGTGCTTAAACCTTGCGCAAAAATGAAAACGGTTACTCGAGATCCTGTCATGTTGCAGCATCACACGGCTTTTGCCAGAAAGGAGAGCGACGCTTTGACTTCTTTGGTCCGTGGCGGGGCGCCGCCGTTAAAAACAGCCCTCCCTTCTTTCACCGTGCTTGCAATTAAACATTTCTGTGTTCACGTTTCGCACATTAGGATGCATGATGTCATATTACGAAGCCTAGTCGGTGGCTCTTCGAGTATGTCTTCTGGCTTCGGCGGCAGCGGGCGCTTTAAAGGGACGCTTTCCTAACGGCTTATTTTCGGTTCCTGCGGTTCGAGGAAGGGGCACTGCTGCGGCAGGCGGTAACGATGCCTGTCTCAATTTGCCGTCATTAACTACCGACGGAAAAGCGCTAGAGCACTTCGTGCTTCCGCACGTCGCCATCACAAAGAAATTGATGATAGTTCGGTTGTGGGATGTTTCGGTGTACAGATTTTGGTGCACACACAATTTGGTGCACGAACTTTTCGGGTCATGGACCTTTTGGCACGTAGGTAATTTGGTGCCTGGACGGTTAGCACATGGTCATTTGGGTTTCCAGATACTTCGACACGCCGAGTTTTTGGCACAGAGTAGACGAAATTTAGTGTATGGTTATTTCAACTATTTTGATGAAAGGACTTGAGCGCGTCGGTATTTCAGTGACATTCGAAAACACGATGGAACTAAAATTCACTCAGTTCTGTGCTAGTTTGTATCCTGTTATTCAGAAGGTACTTTAAATCAATGGTTGTATTTCAATTTGAACGACTGTTTAAGCCTGACACTCAAAATCTGTGCAAAACGTACACAAACATACTTTGCTCATGTAAAAGATGTTAACAAACAGAACGTAAGGGCGCCAGTGAGCTGGTCTATATTGAAAATTTCGAAGCAACCCGAGGCTGGGGAATACGAAGGTTGACACCAAGAGAAGAGCAGGAGAACGCTCTCCTTCTCTTGGTGTCAACTTTCGTGTTCCTCATTCCCGGGTTGCTCGCAATAGTTTAAAAGTATTAATCAATTTTTTTTATTTATAATTTGACACTATACATTTAGTATTAGCACGTGTCCGTTGAATTGTTATGAAATCATCAATGTGTTTCTCACCATATTGCGTTTTCACAGAAGTCAAAAAATTACCGAGGAACTTACGAATAAAAAAACTACATCGTGCCCTAGGTTTCGCTAGACTTTCTTAATCCTTAGGAAAACGGCACATTTGATTCCTCAGAAGAAAAACTATACTGCTCTGAAATCAACGCTTTGTGTAAGTACAATCTGTTACTGCAAAGAAAAATGGCTTGTATGAATAATGCACGAGAGAAAAAAAAAACGGGGCTGTGTTTCTGCGGTGCTTCGGAGCAGACTACGTTAAAAGCACGTTTTTGTTGTTGTTTTTATATCTGTGACGGACGTACTCCGCCGAATAAAATCAGACGAATCTCGTTCCCTCACTCGATCCTCGCTCGTGAGCAGAACGAGGCCGCCTTGTTTTGTTTTTTTTTGCACTTTAGCCAAACGCCATCTACTTCTTTTTTTTTTTCGGCGTGTCCTTGGCACGGTCAACACGTTGACCCTCAGTGCACCGCCACTTCTGTTTAGCAATTTCCTGTTCAGCCCTCAAATTGATTTTTTTTTTTTTTCGAGGCATTGTGAAGGCAACTGGAACCGTTTTATCAAGTGACTGTCTTCTATCATAGAGCGAAGCCAACTGCGACATGCCCGTACCCACCTAACCAGCTGCGTAATACGCCAACCCTAATACGATAACGCACACGCGGAGCGACCCACGACCCGCAGGAGCCCGCGACAGGGACAGGACAGGACAGATCGCTTCGTGTCACAGATGAGAATTTCCCGGAGGGGGAAGGAGGGACGCTGCCGAAAGGAATGCTGTCCCATGGAAGATCCAACCGAATGGTCGACGGGTTTGCCTGAACGTTCGTGCACCAAAATACGTTTACACCAAGACATTCTTGGACCGAAAAGTCCTTACGGGAGTGACCTCAACAAAACGTCCTGCAATAAAAAGTCCTAGACCCTATCAAGGGCAAAACCAAAGCGGCTCATTGGATTCCCCGATGGCCTAAAATGTTTTAGTCAGGCCCCCCAAAAAATTATCTCGGACAAAATGGCCGTGGTAAAAGTTCCCAGTGGAAAGGTCCTAGCAAATCCATAAATAAGATGGTCTAAATTGAAGATCGGGGCATTTGTTTGCTGGTATCTGGTTCCCTTCTTTTTTATTTGTGACGCTCATTTAAACTATAAAAAAGGCGTGCAAAATGTTTATTATACAAAAATTTCGACATTTTGATGATTTGTTTAACACATTTTTGTTCTAGATATAAACCTTTTGTCCTTACATTATTTTTGTCGCAAAACGTTTCCGAAGTCTTCTGATATAACACATTGTTTCCCCAAAGCGATTCTGTCCACAAGGAAAATTTTACATATCAGTGCTAATTAAGATAATTTGGTAACATTCCATCAAAAACGCATGGTATTGCAAGTCTAATACCTTTCGTCACAAACTATTTACTACGACTCCGTTATGATACTCTGAACATCAAAATAATAAGAAAATGACGTTCGCAGGATGTAGCTATTTTAATCATATCAAAAAAGTATTGATAGATATTGGCCGCCTTAGGCCATGGAGCTGCCTGTGAACAATAGAACAGAATTAACGGACAGCAGGTAGACTCTGCGATAGGAGAGCCTCATACAAGGGCAGTGCCGTTCTCTACAATATGACAGATTTAAACTTCAACATACGCCAGCGCGTTGACACGCACTTGGGATGATGCTTGAACAAACCACGTCTAGGGATCAAACATTTCAGAGACTATGAATGTAAGTGGCGACATTTCAGTGGTACGATACACCGGCAGCCATCCCACAGACTAAGAATAACACCGATTCACTGGCAAAGTGAAGCACAACGAGACTGCCCAAGCCAGTGAGTTCAGGAGCAAGCGCGCAACCTTCCTGGATGACGGTCCTACCAGCAGAACGCCAACTGACAAGGAAAACTGCCGATCGATTAGGGTGCCGTGGTCAGAGGCTGTCACGAGAACCACAGCCTGGTGAGAACCTCATTAGACAAGTCTACAGTGAGCCCTGCCAGAGCAAATAATAGCGACACCGACACTAGCGTTAGGCACTGTTCCCTTTTCCAGAGAATTTTGGCTTGAGGCCCAGCAACCCTCCTTGTTCATTTTATTGAGCTGCTTGATGCAATCGCTCTCTCCTGAGCATTGCTCCCCGCTTACCGGCCATCTGGAGGAATTCTCCCTTCGAGATGAGACCCGTGATGTCGTGCAGAGCCACACCGTGTTCGACGACCCGCTTCAGCTGGGCCCCGGTCACATTAAGAAGCACCAGGGTGTTGCCAAAAGGCATCACATTCACCACGTCCTCGAAAGTGATCGCTCCGCCGGGGCTCTGCGTCGAAGGAATTTCGATTTTATACTTTCACAGGAAAACGATTGCAAAAATACAGAGAAAGAACGGGTTGTCGCAGTGAGACACTGGTTAAGGACGTTAATCGTCAAAGTCAAAGGCACCTCAGAAAACAGATAGCACATTCAATCAAGGTCCGGTTGTATGAAACAGTTACGAGATGACGTTAAACTTCACCTTTAAGTGTGTGTAGCGGCTGCCGAAGTGGAGAAAAAAGAGAGCTCGTGCAAGAAGATCTTCACAAGCCAGAGAGAGAACAGAGCGGCTGTATTGCCAGTGGTACTGACAGTGGTAAGGGAATAAAACATATTTATAAACGCAACAAGCAAGCTACCGGAGTGCCCTCGACGACCATCGCTACTGTTACAGTCAAGCTTCCGCCGTTCTGGCCTGCAAATTCAGCTCTCTGGTTCGCACATATTGACTCCCTACTTGCAACACGCAGCATAACACGGCAGGAGACAAAGTTTCGCTATGTGGCCAACGCACTTCAAGCAAACGAGGTCGGCGAAGTTCGGGACATAGTATGAATCCTCCCATTGAACATCCGTACGAAATCATCAACGAAGAGCTCAGTAAGAGCACAACGGCCTCTGAGAAATGGCGTCTGCAACAAATGCTTACAACCGAAGAATTCGGAAATTGCAGACCGCCTTAACTGCTACGATCTATGTTGCAGCTTCTCGGAGATCGCGCAACCACTTCTGATGAAGCTATGATGCGCGAACTTTTTCTTCAGATACTTCCTAATAATGCACGGATGATATTGGAAACATCCAGTAATATACCTTTGGACTGTTTAGCCGAGCTTGCAGACAAGATCTTAGAGACCACTGTACCATCTGTAGCCTCCGCCACACAAGTCCCATCAACATACAGGCGTGGGAAACTCAACAACTTCGAGGCGAAGTACGCCAACTCGCACAACTGATCGAGTCAAAACTTCGGCTACCGCGTTTCACCAGCCCTCGCAGCATAAACCAACGTGGCTCAAACAACTTTAGACTTAGACGAAGCAGCCCATCGCCACGTCGCCTTCATTGCAGCACCACAAGAGACAGATCTCCGGAAGGTGCCATCTGCTGGTACCATCGCACGATTGGTACCCAGGCACGTCAATGCCAAGACCCCTGCTCTTTCCAGAAAAACAACCGAACCAACGGCTGACGGCGGCCAGTTAAGTTGAGTTATCTACCCGCCGCCACGCACTTTTTTACAGCATTTTACAGCACCGATCATCAGACAAGGGTTCGATTTCTTATTGACACAGGAGCAGAAGTTAGTGTAATACCCGCAAACTCACATGACCGTAAGATTACCACACCCATTAATGCTCTCCAAGCAGCAAATTGAACTGCCATTGCAACTTACGGGCAGAGATCCACAACCGTAGATCCTGGATTGCGCCGTACACTAAAATGGGCATTCATAGTGGCAGATGTTTTTTATGCAATTATTGGTGCCGATTTTTTAACTCACTTCAGACTTCTGGTTGACATGACACACCATAAGCTTTTAGATGCCGCCACGCATCTAAAAGCATTTACCTCGGAATACTCTCAAATTTATCATTACTGAGCCCTACACTGCTTTGCGCAAAGACCAATACCAAGTAAGACGCCATTCTTAGCAACTTTCCCAGCCTGACCCAGCCCTCCAACACAGAGTAACCTTTCAAACATGACGTGCAGCACTTCATCACCACCACCGGATCACCCGTTTACGTTTACGCCCGTCTTCTAGCTCCAGAAAAATGTCTAGTTGCACTTCAGGAATTTCAAGACATGATAGATTTGCGATTGATATGACCTTCGTCGAGCAACTGGGCATCCCAACTGGACCTAGTACAGAAAAAAATTGAGACTAGAGGCTTTGCGGAGATTATCGTGCTCTAAACAACACAACAATCCCAGATCGATATACTATACCTCACGAGCAAGACTTTTCTTCAAACCTCTTTGGTATGTCGGTGTTTTCCGAAATAGACCTCATTCGAGCGCGTCATCAGATACCCATCGCACCTGACGACATCCCTAAAAGAGCGACTGTAACTCCATTTGGTCTCTTTGAATTCGTTCGGATGCCATTTGGGCAACGAAATGCTGCGCATACCTTTCAACGTTTCATGAACCAGGTTCTCAGAGGACTCAACTTTTGTTTTGCTTATCTGGATGACATCCTAGTGGCCAGTGCATCCGAGAAAGGACATGAACGACACCTCTATGAACTCTTCAAACGTCTTGACCAGTATGGAGTTGTCATCAATGTCGCCAAATGCGAGTTTGGTCTACCGAACCTAGATTTCTTGGGGCATCATGGACATAAGCCAGGGTGTAAGATAGACAGGTGGGGAAACGGCCCATAGAAACCTACCGCAGCGCCGTGACCAGATTGTGTACTCGTCCGCTTGCGGGTACCCCCCCCCCCCCCTTTTTTGCGACAGATGGCGCTGCGGCGAGAAGAAAAAAATTGGAATCGAATTTGCACGAAACTCTGTGTGAAAGTGAGCAAAATAAACCGAGAGCACGACAGTCCTTCATTGAAAATCCACGAGAAACCTTCTCCTTCAGTTTAGCCGGTCGCCACCGTTTGCCCACCTGGAGTGAGAGTTCGCGGTGCTCCAAATAGATGGCGCCACAGAAAAAGAGAAAACCAAAAGGGACACAATCCGGTCGCTCATTTGGCTCTCGTTTCACCACCTGTCTATCTTACACCGTGACATAAGTATTAACTTCCACCACTCGACGCCAAGGTTAAGGCTATTCGAAACTAACCAACACCGTCTAGCGCACGTCAGCTGCCGGAGTTCCTAGGATTGTTAAATATTTACCGTCGCTTCATACCTGGCCGCGCTGAAATCGTCCAACCGCTAAATGACCTTTCGGCGGCTTTCAAGCATTCCAAACCTTAATTTTTATTGCCAAACTTCGCATCTGAGGCACTTACCTTCATCCAAACCGCGATTGCCAACGCCACCTTGCTAGTGCACCCCAAACCGGATGCGCCTACCAGCATCATGGAAGATGCTTTGGGCACAGTAGTACGAGCAGTACTACAACAGCACATTGGACAACAATGGAAACCTCTCGCTTTCTTTTCACAAAAATTACCAGCAACCGAGACTCGCTACAGTGCCTTCGGACGTGAACTGCTTGTCACATATCTTAAAGTCAAACATTTTCGTTATTTTGTCTAAGGTCGTGAATTTTTTATTCTCACGGATCACAAACCTCTCTTTCCCCCTAACATCAAAATGAAAGGCTGACACTCCTCGAGAGGAAAGGCACTTAACATTCATCAGCGAATTCACCACCGATATCCGACATAACTCAGGAAAACAGAAAGTGTTCGCTGATGCGCTATCAATCGTAGATATGCCGCGTTTATTCTACCCGTCGTTGAACAAGTTGATTTTACCGCTCTTGCAAAACACCAGCAACAGGACGCGTATTGCCAAGTTGACACACAAGGCACATTTCTCTAGATGAAGAAAACGTTAGTACCGCAGACAAACATTCCTTTTCGCGATTTTTCAAATGGAACCCCACGGCCATACCTTCCAGCCGCCTTCCGCAGGAAGTGTTCGATACTCTGCGCGGAATGTCACATCCCGGAATACGAGCTACGCAAAAACTGATCGTCGCCCGTTTCGTTTGGCCGAAGATGTACACGAATACCCACACTTGGACAAGATCATGGAGCTCCTGTAAAAAGTCTAAGATTCACCATCACGCCCTTATGCCAGTTGCAACGTTTCCGCCAACTACAAGACGTTTTGATCATGTTGCCCTTACCTCATTCCAGAGGTTTCACATATATTTTGACTTGTATACACCGCTCCACACGATGGCCTGAGGCAATCCCAATTCCAGACATCACCACTGCCAGTGTGGCCGAAGCTTTCGTCAGAGAGTGGGTTGCCCATTTCGGGGTCCCATCGGCGGTCACTACAGATCGCGGTCGGCAGTTTGAGTCCCACCTCTTCGCCGACCTCCTGCGACTCCGCGGCGTAACCCGTATTCGCACAACGGCATACCATCAAGCTGCAAACAGAATGGTTGAATGGTTTCATAAACAACTCAAAACATCACTACGTGCCCACAACTCTATTTCCTGGACCGAGACTCTTCAAGTGGTTCTCGTAGAAATTCGTTCCACGATAAAAGTAGACATCGGAGTCTCTGCAGATGAGCTTGTTTATGGCACTAAGCTACGTCTCCCAGACGAATTCCTTCACTCTACATCATCTGACTCTTCTCCTCCTTTATCTTATGATTTCACAAGCTACGCTCACCGCCTCAGGAAACACTTCCGACAGCTTCGGCCTCGTCCGCCACAAGAAGCTAAAAATCGCCCTAGCCGTATAAATCCCGACCTTGACACCTGTACCCACGTTTTCGTGCGAGCAGACAAGCCAAAAAAACCGCTTGAACAACCTTGTCAAGGCCCATTCAAGGTCATCAACCGTGATCTCAAATTCTTCACCATCGACATCGATGACAGCCAAGAGAGAATATCCACGGATAGACTAAAACCAGCTTTTACAAATAAACACACTGCGAATTCTACCTTCAGGACAAGAAGAACATCCAGTGGGCTCCAGTCACCACTCGAGGTGAAAAACAACTTGCATGTATATTGGGATAGACGGAACTACTGATTTTATTTTTATCAAGCTTCGTTTCTGCGGAGGGGGAATATCTGTCGCGGCTGCTGAAGCGGAGAAAGAAGAAGAGAGCTCGTGCAAGGAGATCTTCACGAGCCAGGGTCAGAACAGAGCGGCTGTACTGCCAGTAGTACTATCTAAAGGAATAAAACAAATTTATAGGAAGACGCTTCCACAATATAAACCCACGCTCGTTTCCAAGCCGTGCATGCTGGTCTGCGTGGTCTAGTCGGTAGCGAGTCTGGCTCTCAACCGAAGGGACGTAAAAATCTTTACAGTTTTTTTTCTTATGGCAAGTTAATTACTTATCAACCAA